TTCCTTGGTCTACTTACCCTTCAACATCACGAAAATGACACACTGCGCCAAGCTCAACCAAACCGGACCGACACCGGGCAAAACATCTCCAACCCCTCGTGCTCCCATACCAAAGCTTTCCCTCGTAAACCTTAGACCGGCCGACGTTAACGTCAGACCGGAGGGACCGAGGCCGTCCATGCCCCTCCTTCCTTCCATCCCTCCCCCGGAGAATCCGTCACTCTGTGTCCGAGAGCTTCGCCAGCTCTAGCCCCGTCGCCTGCAAGCGTTCCCACCCGTCCTACATGCAGCCTGTCAAAGTGTCGTATGCGTATGGCTTCAGAACACGCCTCATCCTACAGTATATAATGGAATCACCTTTCCGACATAAGCACATACGACCACACCCATCAGAGAATTCGGGATCCCGTCCGCTCTCCCATAGACAAGCTGATGAGGGCCAGATTAGTAGTTGAGTCGGTGACGATCAGCGAATACCTGGTGTTGTATGTTTTTTTTTGTACATTTTCTTATTCAGTGCTAGGTATACTTGTGATTGTTTGCCAGGAGGGGGACGGGGAAGGCTAGGCCAGCCAGCTTGCACTGATTATTCGTGTATGAATGGCAAGATCAAGAGAAGAGCATTCAGTTGTCGCCATCTCAAGAAAACATCAACTGGTTTAACGGACTTTGCTTTTCGGGATTTTGACGCCCTTGATTTTACATGTATACAGTTTATCCGTACACTTTCCATGGTTTCGAACCTCCGATCGAACGCCAGACCCATGCCATGCCATGCGATGCCCAAGCCGATTTGCTTCCGTGGCTTCTCCTCTGTCTCTTTAAATGCCCTCCTTGCTTTCTCTCCCTCTCTTCCAAGTCAGAGAGCCCTGAAGACCAATTTCTGTCCGCTTCGCTCCAGTTTTTCCTTGGGTATTCATTTGGGTTTCCGCGACTATCAAATCATCTATCCTCGCGAAACCATCCGCTTTCAATGCCGTCGCAGGACAGTCACCGCGAATTATGTAGTCGCATGAGACCGGCCTTGATCACGGTCATTCTATGTTGTGATAGCCGTCGTGTTGTTCGTCGCTGGTGCTGTTCCGGCCTCTGCGGCTGCCTTGGCCGATTCCAACCAGGTCGGCCGGAACTTGACCAAGTATTTCGCCGCCAAAGGTCGCGCGTCCTCGTCTGTATACAAAATTAGTATCATCCATAACACGCGTAAAGAAAGGGCAGCACATACACTCTGTCCATATATCTTGCACCGTATCCAGAGCCAAGTCTTTCGCCGGCGGCCGCATCATAACCAAGTACAACAGACTCGTCAACGCCAGAGGCACAACCAACGGATCTCGACACATCAACTTGACGCGTGATAAGATGGCAGGGCTAAGCTCGGGTATCTCACCCAAAAACCGAGTAATGACCTTATCTTGGGCATTGAGGTATTGAGAGAAGCCGTCAATCAACTTGAGAGCCCATTTCTCGTAGTGCAGAGGATGACCTCCATCCTGCTTCTTCTGCAACTGATCATTGTACCATTCTTCATGTAGCCATGTGATGGCAACGTCGATGCGGCGGCGGAAGTCTTCAAGCACGTAGGTATATAAGGACTCCCGAATACTGTCGCCGAGAGCTAGACGGCCAGTGGTCTCGTCTTTGATACCGCCCTCCAAGCCGGCCGACGAACGGCTGGCCAAGCGCGTAATAATGGCGATCCAAGATTCTCGGTCGTTAGTGCTAGCAGCCAATCGGTTGATGCCAGACTTTGACTTTTTCGCAGGGTCCTCTAGCGTCTTGACGAACTGGAAAAGCGACATTACAGAGCCTTGGCCCGCACTGAGTGCCAACTCAGGCGTAAGTGCTGGTGGAGGTGGTAGTCTAAACGTCCTCAAACCAAGATCACCGTCATCTGGTTTGGTCACAGGGTCACTGTCGAGCTTGTTGAGAATCTGCTCATTATCCTCCGCGGCGTAGAAATCTGGCTCGTATTCATCGTCGTCCTCTTCTACGCCAAGAGGAGCGGTTTCAGGATCAATTTGTGGTGGAGGTTGGGCGGCCAGCACGTTGAGTCGTCCACGGATACCCTACGAAAAGTTAGCAAAGGTCGCGCCCTGCATATATCGACTCAGACCTACCTCGACAGCTTTTGCGAGCAGTTGGGCGTCTGTCCGGAGAAGCGTGGTGATGCTGATCTTGGCAGCCAAAGCTGTGGGCAGTGTGCCCACGTCAAACGCTTTCAGTCCCTCGCTTCCAGTAAGAGTAAAGACGTCGCCTAGGCTGTGAGGGCCTGGCGGCAGTGGCGTAATTTGTATCTGCGGTGTCGTCGCAATTTGAGGCGCCATCCGTTGGCGCTTGGCTTCTATTCCCTCTTGCTGCTGCTGCTGTGCCTCGAGGGCACGTTTCCGGCCGGATTCATCAAAGATTTCGTGTCTCGTACGCATCATTCTCTCCACGTGCTGTTGAATTCGTGACGCCATGGGATTGTGAGGATCGCTTCGTTACAATGGTTAGCGATAAAAGCAACAGAATGCTACACATGGGACTAAGGATATACCGTTTAGCTAGATGTATCAAGAGCATTCGAGTAGTCTTCTCCATGGACTTGACCATTACACGAGTTCTAGGGGTCATTGGCGAGTTGGCAAGCTTCAACGGGTTGAAGTTGAGAACGGCATTGAGAATTCTGTTGGCAGTGCCCGGGCGACTGCGGATCAAAATGGACAGGCAGTTCAAAGTGGCATCAACGAGCAACACATCACTATCATCATGGTGCTGTGGTTAGCTAACGTCAGACCTCTCCTACTCGCTTGCAATCCTCACCTGCTGTTCTCCTGCAGTACGCTCAGTATCCTGTCCAGTAAACCAGCTCCTTCGGCGTCGAGCGTCCTAGCATCCAACGTCTGGTGGTTTGGAGGAATCTTGTCGAGTGATATGTCGAGAGAATCGCCACGCTAATCCTCATGTCAGTAACAACACCAACACATACTGTTGGGTTCATCGTACCCTCGGTTCGGCGGGGTTAGCCGCCGATTGTGCTAGAACAACTCGCTGGGCAAACTTGATACAGCATATCCGCACCGTGGATTCGGCATCGTCCCAAATCCGAAGAATCCTCTGCTTTATCGCGACCATTCGTTCCCATGTAAATGTGTCGTACGAGTTGTTGATGCTACCGATCCAATTAGCCTCCGATGCACGCAACGCAGCCAGAGCATGCCGATAAAGTAAATGCGCACGTACATCCATCGCAGCGCAAAGGGATAGATGCTGGCTGCCGTCTGAATAGCGCTTCGCAGGACGTGGGCATCCTCATTGGGGGTCTCGACCATCGTCTGCAGAGTGTCCAGCACAAACAGCTGCATCGTCTCCTTCTCGCTTCCGGGGAGGGCTGGCGTCGCGAAGGCCTCGGCGAGGAAGTCGGCGCCCCATCTGCGCAGTTCGACACCCGCCGTGGGACCGACGATTGGTAGAATGCTTTTGACAACCGTCGGGTAGTACTTCACGTCGCCAAGGACGAGCTTCCTGGCGTCGTTTAGTTGGCGAATTTGGTCGCTCACAGACACCTGCGGGGAGGGAGCCGCCATGATTGCAGCAAGCGATGGCGAAGACGCTTGGAGTCTGAATGATTTTAGGCAGGTACAGGAATAATTTGAAAGTCGATGAAACGTAAAAGTGTTGTCGGATATCGAATCTCGGGCAGGTTGGAAGACAACTTGGGTATCACGAGGGCAGCAGCTGTCGCGACTTGTCGAAATATGGAGAGCTCAAGCTTTTCCAGATCACCATTCTCCAACGCGCCGATAAACACACAGTCGCAATCGTCAAGAGTCGTGTAATTCGTCGAGATGGATGGCGAAAGCGAGATGTGCGATGAGGAAATTTCCCGGCGATTCGTATCGGCTACCCGTCGATGCGATTCCTCTGTTTGCCTTGCTCCAAGAATCTGATGTATTTCCTGCGGGTGCAAGAAGAGGCAGCAAGCACCTGCCGACGTTGAGGGACCTGCGTGACAAGCGACGCGGGTTATGACGGGGCGTGTCGACGGCTCCTGGTTGTTTTGGGTTAGCGCATCGGCTGCCCTAGAGCCTTCAGGGAGCCGTGGAGCCTCATCGGGCATGGAAGGCACGCATGGTAAGGTACCTTACCTTTCAGTCACTTCTATCACGGATGCTGGGTCCAGTAACACTTGCTCAGACTCAAAAGGCCTTTCCACCGAATGGTGCGTTATCAATTGAATGATGGAGAATCGGCCTTCGTGATTAAAAATCGGAAACGCCTGCCGTGATGTAATGATCAAGGATGTTTTTAATGCACCTGGATAACCTAGATACCAGTTGGAGCTTTGAGCTTGAGGTCGCAGGGCCCAAAAGCTACGAGAAAGATGTAGCTTCAAAACCAGCTTCCCATACTCAGGTACCGTGAGTCTAAGCCTCTGTGCTTCCAAAGGGGGCAGTTTGGTCTTTTCTTTCTGTCTGATATAATTGCATGTTAACATAACACACTATTGCAGCATGCGTGTTGCTGTTGAATAACATAGTTTCGAGAAGAACGTGAAGATCTCAGGGTTGCGAAATGTACCTCTTCTTCAACCGGGTCAGGTACCTTACTTTGAGTGCCCGTGAAGATGTCTTTTCTCTCCTGCAAAGGCGGCGACGGAGTGTCTGTTTCCCCCAAACCCAGCCTAGAGAGCCGCTCCCAGAGAAACCCCTGCCCACCTAAGCTTATCGCGCAAGTCTCTACGTCACTATCGGTTCTGCCGCACTTTCTCCGTCTTATCGATACCAATCAGCGTCGAGGCAATCAATGCCGGTCCGGACGCGCCTATTGGAATTTCCTCTAGAAGTTCGAACCACGGCGTTTGCGACAACGGCCCCGAACCGAACATCGAATTTCCCAAACCCGTGGCGCAAACCCACGATCGACCACCCCTCCCCCTTCCCCAAGGGTTTGAACCAACCTCACGAACCCTCGTTTACCGAGTCTCACGAAAGATAGAACCTCAGAATTTGGTCACAATGGCGATGTGCGTCAACGCCCCCATCCGTCGCCCGCCCCCTCCACCGCCGCCGCCAGAGTGAGCAAGTGGTCTGACAAGCAGGAAACGACAGCCCTCAGAAGTCCTCCTACTACGATCGCAACCTCCGTCAAGGGCCCGCCCTGATCAGAGCGCGCAAGCCCTACCTCGCAAAGAACCTCGCCGTCGGTGCCGGACTGTGGTGCTTCGTCGGCGCAGTGTGTATGTGGCGAAACAACTCCCCCCCTTTGGCGTGGATAGGCACCGTTGCGGAAACCCAAGCAAAATATGCTGACACAGTTTTTTTGGGAAACAATGTAGATTGGTACACGATCAAGGCGGTCGGTCAAGATGAGTTTGAGGATGTCAAGGTTCCCGATGCCCCGAGGCACCCAGCAAAGTCCAATTAAGGCCGTTGGGAGATGAGAAGGGCGGCAGGAGGAAATATGTGATGTACGAGATTAAGCGCGGGATAGGATCCAAAATTCCCAGGAATAAAAAATACGGGGAGTATATCAGTATGCGTGGGAGCATATGCATTGTATAGTATATATCTGCGAGTCTCACTCATCTCGCTCTTTTCGCCTGTTGCATCAATATGAAAGATGAAAAACAAATCCCCAATCAATAACTCTGTGCATCTCTCATTACAGGATTAAACCCGTCCATTCAATGCAAATGCAGCTCCGTAAAACCTGTCCGTTCCCCCCATCTTGTAGACACCCATAAGTTTTGACACCCTCTATAGGGGGGCTGCCAAAATGAACATGCCCGTTGAAACAACGCGCCGGTGCAAGCATAACTAGTCAAAAGAAAGAAAAAGGGGCGAGCTGCCCAAGCCGTCGTGGGGTATCATAACAGAGCAGTAAGCCTCGAAAACGCCGTTGGCCGTCCATTGATGCCGTCCTAACTAGCCATTGCCGACACTGGCTCTTGTTTGGGAGCTGTGTTTTTTGCAGCTTTTGATGTGCGGCTGCCTGCGCGCTTCATCTGGGCACTCTGTGTCAAAACATTGGCTGTTCTGACCATCTCGGGAGATGCAGAAATAAATCGGTTCATCGGCGGCGACGCCTGCGGCACGACATGGCCGTTCGTTACGGCTGGTATCGGTTGTTGGTTGGACGGGCCTGCTGCTGCTTTACCTCCCTGCATTGGACTGCTCAGTCGAGCACCGGCTGCTGCAGGTCCTGTGCTGATTTTGTGTGCAATGTGGTTCGGGTTGGCCCAAGGAGTATCTTTGATAAATTGTTCCCCTGCGGGGCCGAGGTTAGATCCGAACGCAACTGCTTGATAATCCTCAATGGGCTGCATTATTGAACGTTGACGAGGTTTCGTGTTGCGCTGGTATGTGTTAGTGACGTGTTTTTCACAGAGTGAATCCTGCGTTTCACTAACCTTCATTTGCTCCAGGTCATCCTCGATCTCTGAGCCGCTCGCGCCCCTCATGGCCGGCACCGCGGGGAAGCCCTCATGCTTGGCGACACCGGCCAAAAACGAGACCTCCGAATTGTATGCCACGGCGTTCCTTGTGCGCTGTGTAGGGTTCGTCGGGAAGAGGAGGCCGTAGTCCGGAATGCTGTGTGCGCTTCGCCTAGCATTCTGGGTCTCGTACCACTCCTTGTTGAGGTCTTCGAGCATCTTTGAGCGCTTTTCCCGAGAGCCTTGATAGAATTGATTCCAAATCTGGGCGCGGCGCGCCACTGCCAGTCTCTCAAGGGCCTCAACCGAGAGCTCGTATTCTTTTTCAATGTTTCGAAGCCTCTTTTCGAGCCTTTCGTCCAGACATTGCTTCATATTTAAGTATTCGGGATGTGTCGGCGGCTCGGCTTGCAATGACTGTTCTTCATGCTCGAGGCGCTCGAGGCGATCCTTGTACAAACTGCGAAAAATCCGTTAGTCGCTAAGAAAGCTATTGCTTCTTCCCGGAGAGACTCACCGCTCGCGGAAGACGACAAATTTCTCTTCAAGATCGGTCCATTCCTCAACCGCAGCTCGTTTTCTTTCAACTATTGCATTTTGTCAGCAAGGCTTCAAAAGATGGATGGGTCGCAAGCCACATACATTCTTCGTCATTTCTCGTCGCCTCCGCCTCGTCGTCACCTTCGTGGTCAGCCTGGTCGTCGCCGTGAGGCCCAGAGTCGTCGTCACCACGACCATCATCTCGAGCGTCGCCATCATGCCCTTCGTTCTCGTGGGCCTCAACAGCGTGACCTTTCCTTCTGCTCCCATTGCGGGTGACCTTTTTTGTGATTTGTGAATCCTTGATCGGGCTGTGACCATCGCGCGAAGGGCCGCGCTTGCTGTGGGGAAGTTCCAAAACACTATCCTCGGTCGCCGAGTGATCACCAGTATGTGAGTTTGTGGACGGGGCCTCGTCGTCGTGCATTTCCACGTCGTTCTTGTGCTGATCCTGCTCCTGGGGCACGACGGAACCGGTGCGCTTCCTGGCGGGCTGGCCTGGCTCGGATGATTCCGCGACCGGCGACCGCTTCCTTTTTTTGCTATCGGTATTCTCAGGGTCGTCTTCGGTGGTTGGGAGCTCGGTGGACTTCTTGGGCTTGGTGGGCGAGCCCAAGTCACCGTGACTCGAGGTCATTGACACGTCGTCGCGGTCGGAAAGACTGTCGTCGTCGCCATCGTCGTGGCGGTCGACAGAAAACGTCTTTTGAAGCTTGCTAGGAGTCCGTTCGTAGACCTGGCCGTCGTTGAACTGATTGACAACGACGTCCTTGTGGCGCTGTGCCTGCGGGGTGTCGTAGAGACGCTCAGTCTCCGCTTCGGTATCATTTGCCTCTGACAGATTGCTGTCAGAGTCGAGCGCCTCGTCATGGTCTGGCCGAGTGTGGTCGAGCTGCATCCCATCAAGAGATTCACCGCCGTCCTTGTCCTCGACGTCGCTCAGCGGGCTGGAGATGTTGCTATCGTCATGATCGAGCGTCGCCTGCCCTGGAGAGAGGGCAGGCGGCGCGGACGCCGTAGCTGCCATTGAAAAATTGAGATGATACCGCGGTTTGGGATATCAAATCGGGTGGTTTGGAGATTGGTTGCGTCGTGGAGCAGTGCAATTCGGGTAGACGAGTTTTCGTGGGAACGAAGACGGGGCGCGGAGGGACAAGCACCAGCGGCAGCGACAGCGGCGGGTTGGAGGAGCGGGCGGGTCGCTGTTGTGAAGAGGGAAGCGAGTGCGTGCTAAAATCAAGGTTTGGAAAAAGGGAGTTCGAGAGAAGCATCAACGCGTGTGACTGTCTAGTCCCGAATGCAGACGTGGGCGAGCGCAAAGTGGTGGTGTTGTGGTGGGTTTTCGGGGATGAGAGAGAAGCGTTAGTGACCTGCCGCTCCATGAGAGATGCGCTCACCTGCTCCCTCTCTCTCTGTGCTCTGTGCCTTTCTCCGGCCCCCCCAGCGGAACCAGCATCGGTCGGCAGAACCAAGTCTTAGCAACGAGCGAAAGCGGTGAGAGCTGGCACAACAGCGGGCACGGGGCACTTGTTCTCGGCAAATAGCGGTCTTCTGACGTTTTGCACCAATCCACGGTTGTTCCGCTTCTTATCGGCGCACTCCACCTCCGAAATCTCTTATCGCACTGGTGCGCAGGCCAAGTGGTACAGAGAGCTTGATTTTTTTTCTGTCGCGGCATCGATCTGGGGGGATTGGTGCATCTACAGCAGACCCGTTGCAGAACATAGATACTCAACAAAACAAGTCATACATCTGTCGCAACAATGGGGAAAAGGTGAGTTCACTCTCATTGTCATGGCACATTTTAAAGACTAATTGCTTTCTGGATAGTTCAAAACTTACGGCCTCGAGCAAGGCCATTGACCCCACTCTCGATGCCCTCTTCGCATCCAGTGTAAGTCTTCTTGCGCAAAAGTCGGCCAATTATGCCAGGAAAATTCTAAAAAAATTTAGGCAGGACCTGCGAAGGCTCCGGAAAAGTCAAGGTATTCCGAAGCGCCTCCACCAAAGGTGAAGCCTGCGGCTGAGACTTCCAACGACGATGAGGAACTACCTGATGCCGACGACGAGGAGGTGTCTGAGCTTGGTAGCGATGAAGAGATTGACCTTGAGGATATCGCCGACTCAGAGGAGGAAGAAGTATCAGAACCAGCTGCAAAGCCAAAGAAGGAGCGCAAGCGCAAGAGAGTGGAGGACGACATCGAGGGCAAATACCTGAGCAAGCTCGCCGAGGCAGAGGAGAAGGAGACGCATGCTGAGAAGCGCAGCAAGAAGGAGACCAAGGATTCGGAAGACGGGGAGGAGGCCGCCTCAGAAACATCTTCCGAGGGCGAGAGCGCGGGTGAAGGCGAAGAGGAGGAAGAGGAGGAGGAAGAAGAAGAAGAGGAGTCTGACGATGAAGCCATCCCCGTCCACGAATCTGTTGCGGCCGAGAGCAAGGCCAAGACAAAAGACACGGAGCTGGAAAAGGCAAACCGCACAGTCTTCCTCTCCAACGTTGCCTCCGACGCCGTCGACAACAAGACGGCTAAGCGCACCCTCGAAGCCCACCTCACCAGCGTCCTCGACAAGGACGCCAAGCCCCTGCAAAAGATCGAGTCCATTCGCTTCCGCTCCATCGCCTTCTCCGGCGGCGGCCTCCCCAAGCGCGCAGCCTACATCACCAAATCCCTCATGAACGAGACGACCAAGTCCGCAAACGCCTACGTCGTCTTCTCCACGCCCGCCGCCGCGCGCAAAGTCTGCGCCGAGCTCAACGGCACCATCGTCCTCGATCGTCACCTGCGCGTCGACAGCGTCGCCCATCCTGCACCGACGGACCACCGCCGCTGCGTCTTCGTCGGCAACCTCGGCTTCATCGACGACGAGACCATCCTCGCCACCAACGAGGAGGGCGAGACGGTGCAGAAGAAGCGTACCAAAGTGCCGGCCGACATTGAGGAGGGTCTCTGGAGGACGTTCGGCAAGCACGCCGGCAAGGTCGAGAACGTGCGCGTCGTTCGCGATCCCAAGACGAGAGTGGGCAAGGGCTTCGCCTACGTCCAATTCTACGTAAGTCCCCCCTCAAGTATTGCAACGTAGTGAGAGAAACATTGCTAACCAAAACACACACAGGACGGCAACCACGTAGAATCAGCCCTCCTCTTAGACGGCAAGAAATACCCGCCCATGCTCCCCCGCATAATGCGCGTAACCCGCGCAAAGGCCCCCCACAAGACCGCCCTCGCCATGGAGCGCACCAACAAGGCCAGAGCCGCCCAGCCAGGCGCCTCACGCGGCGCCGGCGCCCCCGGCAGCACAAAGTACAAGGCCAAGATCACCCCCGAGCAGCAGTCCCTCGCCGGCCGCTCCAGCCGTCTCCTGGGCCGCCAGGGCGCGCGCCGCGAGCAGCGCCGAGGCCGAGAATTCGAGGACAGGAAGCCGCGCGGCCCGGGCAACGGCTCCGGCGCCATCCCCAAGGACGAGATGAAGAAGCCCGAGGACTTTATTTTCGAGGGCCGTCGCGCCAGTGCCAAGGACGGTAGGCCAAAGGATCTCAAGTTCAACAAGCGGAGTAAGCCCCTGAACAAGGGCGGCGTCAAGAAGAGCAAGCCCACGGGTCGTGGTGCCAAGAGAGCCGCGGAGTGGAAGAAGAAGCAAAAATGAGTACGTGCTGGAGGGGGTGGGTGACCTGCTTGTATTGAGGTAGTTGCATGGAATACCAAAAGTAGACGGATAGAGGCGTCGGGAAAAGGCGTCCAAAATAATGGGCATTGTACAAAGCACATCCCTACATCATTTGATTTACAGGGCATCCCTCAATTCCCACATCAAGTATTGTGTTGCTACTAACAGCGGATGTATGCGATACACTCTGCAATTACGACATTGAATCACATTATGCAAAGTAATTTGGAAGAATACGTTGATTTACAAGTGACTACTTTCAATCCCCCAAGAGGCTCTCGTCAGACAAGTCAGGAGGTACCACGTATATACTTGTGAAAGAAGAAAGTGACTTGGTCTCATCTATTATCAACTCGAGCTTGACGCCGAAATATCCATTCGTTGGGTTATGGGTTAATCCAGTGCCTTGTGCGTCCATGTCCGTCTTGCGAGAACGAGAACAAAAGTCTACCGAACCGACATCCCGACGGCCGCCAAAAGAACAAACTTTTTTCATGCAATTCGTTTTTCGTTCAAGGCTGCCGGGTTCGTCATTGTTCGTTGCAGCAACCGATATACCGCGAAACAAAAAAACGGGACGGTCTCCGATGTCGGCTTAGTACTCGGCATCGTCCTCCTCGCCCTCGTACGAGTCGGCAGCAACCTCCTCGTAATCCTTCTCAAGCGCAGCAAGATCCTCACGGGCCTCACTGAACTCACCCTCCTCCATACCCTCACCGACGTACCAGTGGACGAAGGCGCGCTTGCTGTACATGAGATCGAACTTGTGGTCCAGTCTCGACCAGGCCTCGGCGATGGCGGTGGTGTTGGACAGCATAGAGACGGAGCGGTCGACAGAGGCGAGACCACCGTCGCCAGCGGCAGCGGGAACGGCCATGGGCTTCTGGTAGTTGATTCCGAGCTTGAAACCAGTGGGGCACCACTCGACCAGGTTGAAGGAGGACTTCGCCTTGAGGGCAGCAATGGCGGCGTTGCAGTCGCGGGGGACGACGTCACCGCGGTACAGGAGGGCAACAGCCATGTACTTTCCGTTGCGGGGGTCGCAGACGACCATCTGGTTGTTGGGCTCGAAGCCTGTAATGGATTAGCACTTGATCGTAGTCACAAGTTGCTGGCAGAGGATTCAATAACATACACTGGAAGGTGAGCTCCTGGACCTTGAAACTCTCGTGAGAGCTCTTGTTGGCAGAGATGACGGGAGCGTAGCTGATCAAGGGGTAGTGGATACGAGGGTAGGGGACCAAGTTGGTCTGGAACTCGTTGAGATCGACGTTGAGTGCGCCATCGAAACGGAGGGACGAGGTGATGGAGGAGACAACCTGGGCGATCAAGCGGTTGAGGTGCTCGTAACCGGGACGGGGAATGTCGAGATTGCGGCGGCAGATGTCGTAGACAGCCTCGTTATCGACGAGGAAAGTACAGTCCGAGTTCTCAATGGTGCTGTGGGTGGACAGGACGGCGTTGTAGGGTTCAACGACGGCAGTCGAGACACGGGGGGCGGGGTAGACGGCGAACTCAAGCTTCGACTTCTTGCCGTACTCGGTAGAGAGGCGCTCGAGGAGGAGGGCACCGAATCCAGAACCGGTACCACCGCCGAAGGAGTGGAAGATCAGGAAGCCCTGGAGGGAGTGGCAGTTGTCTATGGGAAGAATTGGTCAGTCTCAACATGGCCAGCGGGTCGAAAGGCGTCAAAAGGGGTACGGACCAGCGACGCGGCGAACACGGTCAATGACATTGTCGACCATCTCCTTGCCGATGGTGTAGTGACCACGAGCATAGTTGTTGGCAGCATCCTCCTTGCCGCTGATCAACAGCTCAGGGTGGAAGAGCTGACGGTAGCCGCCAGTTCGGATCTCGTCAATGGGAGAGGGGTCGAGATCGACGAAGAGGGAGCGAGGAACGTATTTTCCTCCGCTCGTCTCGGTGAAGAAGGTCTCGTAGGAACCGCCGTCGACGACGTCCTTGGCGTTGGGGTCAGGACGACCATCGGAGCCGAGGCCGTGCTCGAGGAGGTAGCTGCGCGTTGGGCGGTCAGTTCCATCGGATTCCGCGTCGGGATCAGTAGGACATGAGATTGGAGGTCAACGTACAGCTCCCAAGCAGAGTTACCCAGCTGGGTACCGGCCTGACCGAGATGAAGGTGAAGAATCTGGAGACATCGCCGTCAGTATTGGGGCCGCACACCGAGGTCAAGATGGATGGGACAGCTAGGTAAGGTAGGCTAGATTTCAGGGGTCGCCTCGGTACGGGAAAATGGGGGAGAGTAGCGAGTAGCCAGCAGGCCACGATGCTGTTGGAAGCTGTGATATGGAGGACTGGAGTCGAGATCGGAAGATAAAAGGAAATGAATGATATTGAACATACCTCGCCCTTCATTGTGTAATGTGGCTCAACGGAACTTGGGAATAGCTGCGACGCAAAATGGAATGGGGAAAGGGAATATTTTCACGCGCGCAGCGCAGAGTTGAGGTTCGGAAGAGCTAGGGGGAAGGAAGGTGTTGGTGATGGTTTTCAGAGGTTTGGAGTGGAGGGTCACTTGTTGTGGGCAAGGCGGGGCACAATCAACAAGGCCGACCAGTGGCGCGATAGGCTTCAAGGCAAAGGGTATTCCCCCCCTTCTTCACTGGGCTTAGCGCCTGCCTTTCACTGCTAGCTTTAGTGCTCTAACAGCTGTTGGTGTGTTGGGTCTCCAGTACCAAGATGATTGCGGGGGTCCATCGAGCCAATCAAGTACCGGTGACACTCTCACCGCTACATGGCCCAAGCGTTTTTCCCTTTTGTCTATTGGACGACGTTCAGGGGTGCATGAAGATACCCGCACACTGCCACCTGCCATCACCATTTACCGGTCCTTCACACGGCGACAGCTGTGATATACGACGGGATATCAAGCTCGGAAATGTTGTTTCCTTCTTCACCTGGCTATCAAGGCAGAAATACACAGCTTTCAGGCTTCAATTGCATTCTATATCCTCACCGCTCACCCATCAGCTGCCAGATCTTCTCTTCCTTCTCAACATGAGTGGTCTGTGCGGGGAATCCGGGGTTCAAGGCATTGACTTTCGGGAACAGCAGGCGAAGATCTTGCCAGATTCGTAGTGCCTTTGATGAGGAAAAATTCTGAGAGCACTTTGGGAAGGCTGGTGTTTCAACAAATTTGAGACTCTAGCACGGCTATTCTCTGGATCCTTCTTCTCTATTTCTGAACAGCCAAGTTGACTCAACGTCGTTCGAAGGCATATCCTCGTAGTCGGTGACATCCGAGCGATCTTCAGAGGGGCCGAGCCAGATCCGGCCCCACTCTCCGCTTCCGTTTGTCGTCCGACGTCAACAACTTCTCCTTGTCCAAGGTAGCCCTACAACGGTTTTTGGACGACAAGGCGGATCAAAGAACTCAAGCTCAAACTAATCAATAAACTGTCAAGGGTATTCAAGTTAATCACAGCTCAAAGGATAACTCTTGTGGTTGAAACGAGTTGGTTCCCGAATTGCGCACTCCAAGGTAGAGACTAACTTAACCTCGAGCCAGGATAGGCAGTTGAGGGCAGTATCACCTTATAGTTCATGGGTTAGGTGTTAAAACTGCTTGAAATTAGCCGCAATCAGACGCAATCCATCCGTTTAGTCCGCTAGTGTGTCGAGAGGCGCTGATTCACAGTCAACGTGTTTATGCTCCCAATAGCGGCAGTAGACGCAACATCCGAGACTTCCCAAACAGACATGATCTATTTCCGACCTTTTGGAAACCCAAATCTTCCATGTCAATACTTCATGCAGCTGGTGAAGAGGGTGTATTTACACACAGCTTCCGAAGCTCATAAGAACCGGCCAAGTATGTACCAACAACAAGTCAAACCTAGTCTGGACTGTATGCCTGCCAGCAACAACAAGTCGTGGCCAATAACGATTGAGGCCGCGTTACTTCCAGAGCTGTCGGTCATCGGTATTTCTAGCCTAGATCATAACTCTTTAACCTGCGAACGTTGCTGCCATATCAAATATGGTCCCGGCCCTAGAAGAGTGAAGTCACTCATAATCTCTATCAATCTCTCTTTCACGTCATGATCCGCTGGAACTAATTAGAATGGCCCTCGGTTCTTGTACCTTGGCCGACAGAATGCTTGAAAATGGAGCCGCCAGTGCTGAATGTCGCGGAAAGGCCCATGAGGCACGAAATGTATCTCATTGTATGCAGTAGACCTTGGCTGCGTAGGTACATCACTCAGACGGGTCGAATGCAAAGGAAACTCAGAGCCGAAAGATTTCTGATATCTTAAAGACCATTCCTAGTATGATTAGGGAGGCAAGACTGGCCGGCCTATATGAGAAACTAGGTCGGAGCACTAATTGCAGAGAGCGAGCATCTGGAGGGAGCGTCTCGTTACTTTTCCAGAACCTTGACTATAACAGGTTCTAGCACCCATTTCAGGATGCATCTATCATCTAGCTTGAATACTCGCAATGTAAGTACATTACGTTCTGCATTGCAATCACCGTCGTCCGAGAGTGAACTCACTTAAAAGCCCTAGCTTTAGGTGACTTTCTAAAAGCGACGCAAAACTCGAACCAGATCATCTACCACTCTGCCATTTGACAGGTCTTACATGCCGTGATACCGTATCCCCTTCTTTCTCGTGAAATGCATGCGACTCTCACCACCTTACGGTAATCAAAAATGCTACATAAAACGGGCGCTAAATGGCGGCCAAGCGGGGCCGACACCAGTCCGACACTGCATGCTGTGGTAGTCGAGCGAATGGTATAAAAGACATTTTGAATCACATCTCAGACCCTGTTGACGAAAGTTGAGACCCCCGGTAGATCGGCAGCTCGAGGGCCACCATAGGAAACTGCGGTACGACGTAGTGCTGACATCTCCATATAAGCGTGATAATCACGTCTTGACTCTATAAACTCTGAAGTTTCCAGCAAAGAGTGGAAAATGATACAAAAGACCCTTATTCTCTCGTGGAACAGCGATTTCTTAGTTACCAAAGTAAGCTAGAAACTTGCGACGAGGGTCAGCTCAACATCCAGCAACATCAGACAAACCACCCAACATGACCACCCCGAATCTCCCATCCCTCGACCTCTCCCCCCTCCAATATACCGCCCTCTTCCTCACCCTCTTAACCATCTACTACATACTCACCTCCCTCCTCACATGGCACCGTCTCCGCCACATCCCAGCCTACTCTCCGCTCTCCACCTTCTCCTACCTCCCTCTCTTCCTCATCGCCCGCTCCGCCCGCCAAGAAGAAATCTACCGCACCCTCAACACCTCCCGCCTCGTCCGCGTCGGCCCCAATGAGCTCCTCACAGACGACCCCATCGTTCTCCGCCGCATCAACGCCGTCCGCAGCGACTACGGCAAGGACTCGTGGTACTTCTCCAGCCGGTTCAACCCCTACCAGGAGACCATGTTCACCACGCTCGATAAAGGGGAACATGACCGGATGAAAGCCAAGACGGCGGCGGCGTATGCGGGGAGAGAGGTGGATTTGTTGGAGCCGAGCGTCGATGTGCAGGTTGTGAGCTTGGTTAGCCTTTTGAGGGAGAGGTATGCGTATGATGATGCGGATCGAAGTAATACTGGTGGAGGAGGAGGAGGAAAAGGAAAGTTGGTGGACATGGGAGTCTTACCGGCGTATTTAACCATGGATGTAATCACCACCGCGGCGTTTGGGAAGCCGTTTGGACACTTGGAGGCTGATGCGGATGTGTTTGGGTTTATCAAGCAGATGAGAGATAACTGGCCGCTGATTGCGATTACGTTGGATACGCCGTGGATTCGGACGATTCGGTTTTCAAAGTTGTTTCTGAGGTGGCTCGGGCCAAGGACGACGGATGCGATTGGGCTTGGGCAGATGATGGGGTGAGTCCTTTTTTTCTTCCATCGCGGAAGCTGTTCCTCCTCTAGCAGTTGTGACTAATGGGGCGATAGGATTGCTGAGAAGTACGTCGGGGAAAGATTCAAATCTACCTCGAAGCCTCAGAAGGACATGTTGGTACGTTTACATTGAGAAGTCTACTTTCTCTAAGAGATGGGTACTGATGAGGTTTCGACACAAGGGATCTTGGATCAAGAACGGCATGACGCAGAAGGAATGCGAAGCCGAAGGCCTCTTTGCCCTCGTCGCCGGCTCCGACACCACCGCCTCCGTGATCCGTGTCACAATGCTACATCTCATGTGCAACCCCAGGATATACCACAAGTTCAAGGCCGTCATCCGGGATGCTGTCGCCTCTGGGGTCTCGACTCCGATTACCTTTGACCAAGCCAGCAAGATCCCATTCTTACGTGTACGTCTACAAACTCCCTCAAACCAACCCAAACAACCCAAACTGCGATATCTAGTATAGGTATGACAATACTAAAAGAAAGGAAAAACTTACAGGCCCTGATCTACGAAGGCATCCGAATCCGCGCCCCAGCAACAGGCCTCTACCCCAAAACCGTCCCCCCGCAAGGCGACACCGTCGACGGCAAGTTCATCCCCGGCGGCACCGCCATCGGCATGAACGCCCCCGGCCTCCTAAAGTCCTCCGCGCTCTTCGGCCCCGACGCGGACCTCTTCCGACCGGAGCGGTTTCTCGAGGTCGACGATGACGCGGCCAGGCTCGGCATGGAGCGGGACGTGGAGATGGCGTTTGGGTACGGGCGGTACATGTGTGCGGGTAAACCGGTGGCGTTTATGGAGCTATATAAGGCTTTCTTTGAGGTATCTTTTTTCCTAGTTTGTTTAACTTGGGTACAATATTGGGGATATCAATTGCTGATGTTTACGGTTTAGTTGATGCGCAACTTTGATTTCGAGCTTGCGGATCCGGTGAGGCCGTGGGATTCGTATAGTTATAACATCTTTGTGGAGGAGAACATGTGGACCAAGGTGACGATTTCGGAAATCAAGTAGGACCTTTGCCGCTGCGTCTGTCATTCGACATGTGAGAATTTCGTTCCTTTTAGACACTCGAGTAAATTATCGATTCTCATAAACCCATTGAGAGGCAATAATTTAACATGGACAGTTGGGCCGATGTTGGCTACAAGAATCGAGTCTCTAGAATAGGAGAATCATCTGCGTATATTCCGTCGTGGCTCCATACCAAGATATTACAGTGTAACAAGCCAACCGACAGAAATAGTTGTCCTGGAATTCACCTCTAATGGGCAGACAGCTTCGCTTGTGCTATCAAACTTGTACGGTGAGGCTCCAGGGTCCACATCTTGTTTGTACGTTGGTGGCGGCAAGAGCATGGAAGATTGATCCAAGAAACAATCATACCTTAGACAACAAGTCTTGGATAACTGGTGAAGTAGAGTGTTCACTCCTTCCAACATCTCCGTCCCTACCTCCTTTCTTCCTTGACCTAAT